TTGCAGTTGTTCCAGAGACTCTGGAAAATACTTTGGTTCCTCTTCTCTTGGTGTCTTTAGCCAGGGCGGAGGAGAATGACCAGCTTCAGATGACCTTCCTTAGGTGGTTAACGTGCAGAGTTGAGCGCGAATATGACCCAGAGTTTCCAAGCATGCAGGAAACAGGTGCAACATGAGCCCGAGCTGTGGGTCATTTGTCCTGCTTTGGCCCCTCACTGGACAAGTGCCAGGCCGAGGGAAGAGTCAGGGCTTTGGAGCAAAAGCCTCCTCTGAGTCCCTGTCTTAATCCCATCCAATGAGCCATTTTAAAGGGGATGGTTCAGTAGTGTTAAATATGTTGACAATGCACACCTGCCAGTGGTATCTCACTTTATAAGATTCTTCTTCCAAAAGGAAATCTCAGACCCATGAACAGTTCCTCCCTGTCACCCTTGCCCCCAGCAGCCTCCAGTCTTCTTCTGTTTTCCTTACTCCAAACCCTTGATAGACCTGGACTAATACATTGTGTGGCCCTTTGGCCCCTGTGTCTTTTATTGAAGACCACATTTCCCGAGTTGATTCATCTTCTAGCATGTTGTCACCTCACCCGTTTACACTGCTGCAGGTGTATGGAGAACCTGTTTATCATTCATTCCTCCATGCAGCGCTGCAGGTGGGCTACCGCGGCCTGTTTATCATTCATTCCCTCATACACAGCTAGGCTAGTTTCATCTCTCGGCTGTGCCAATAGCACTGTTAGGAATGTTTCTGATTGGGTTCTTTTTTGTTTTCTTGGACATGGACCTGGGCATAGAATTGTTGGTTACATGGTGATTCTGTCTTTAACTTTGTAGCAACCGGCAGCCACAGTGGCTGAACTGAACTATTTTACTTTCCTGGCATTGTCTGAGGTTGCAATTTCTGGCAACTTTGTCAGTATTTTTTTTTTCCCTCTCCTTTATTTTGAGAGTTGGTATCTCATTGTGGCTTGCTCTTCATTTCCCTAAATTATTAATGATGTTGAAGATCTTTGTGGATTGTTATTACAGCTCTTTGGGAAGATACCTGCCTAAATCTTCTCTTAATTTTTTAAGTTGTTGTTATTGGGTGTTTGTTTGTTTGTTGAACAGGGTTTCTCTGTGAAGCCCTCTGTCCTAGAACTCGTTCTGTAGACCAGGCTGGCCTTGAACTCACAGAGATCCACCTATCTCTGCCTCCTGAGTGCTGGGATAAAGAAGATTGTTTGTGTTTTTGGTTTTGGTTTCAAGAGTTATTATATATTTTGGATATTTTTTAAAGATTTATTTATTTATTATGTATACAGTGTTCTGTCTGCATGTATGCCTACACACCAGAAGAGGGCACCAGATCTCATTACAGATGGCCGTGAGCCACCATGTGTTGCTGGGAATTGAACTCAGGACCTCTGGAAGAACAACCAGCAGTGCTCTTAACCACTGAGCCATCTCTCCAGCTCCTATTTTGGATATTTTATTTTTAACAAATAATGCAAATATCTCTCCCATTCTGTAAATGCTCCTCCTTCTTCCACTCTCAATCCCTCCTTCCTCCTCTTCTTTCCTCTCCCCTCCTCTCCCTCCCCTGCCTCTCTTCCCTCCCCTTTTCTCCCCTCCTTTCCCTCCTCTCCCTTTGCTTCTCCTCCCTCCTCTCCTTCTCCCTGCCCCTCTCTTCTTCTCTTCTCTATTTCCTTCTCCTCTCCTTTCCTCTCCCCTTCCTCTTCTCGCCTCTCCTCCCCCTTCCTTCCTCCTCCTCCCTCTCTCTCCCCCTCACCCTCCCTCTCTCTTCTCCCTTCCTCCCCCTCCCTTTCTCTCCCCCTCCCCCTCCCTCTCTCTCCCCCTCCCTCTCCCTCCCCCTCCCTCTCTGCCTGCCTCTCCCTCCCTCTCCCCTCTCTCCCCCTCTCCCCCTCCCTTTCTCTCCCCCTCTCCCCCTCCCTTTCTCTCTCCCCCTCCCTCTCTCCCCCTCTCCCTCTCCCCCTTCCTTGTTTCTGTCTTGCTTCCTTTGCCTCACTGTGCGGCCCGGGTTGACTTTGAACTCAGTCCTCTTGCTTGAGCCTCCTCAGTGCTGGAGTCACAGGCGCACCACCATGCTTGGTTTCCTTTCGCTTTCTTACTACTGATGCATTAGATTTGTGAAGTTTGATTAACTTCAGTTTCCCTGTGTTTCTTCATTGATGTTTTTTACTATAATGTCTGAGAACCCAGTACCAAGTGCAGGGTCATAGAAAATTAATTTTATTTATTCTCTGAAAGACTTGAGGCTTAACTGTATGTGTAAGTCACTGATCCATTTTGAGTTAAGTTTTATATCCAATTAGGCTCACCTTGGCTCTTCCCTGTATAGACATTTTCTGTGTATGGGTTTATTTTCATGTTCTCAGTTATATTCATGCCACTTATTTGTGGTTTTTTTTGTGTGTGTGTGTGTGTGTGTGTGTGTGTGTGTGTGTGTGTGTGTATGTGTGTAGGTAGAGTTTTCCTGCCTGGCCCACAGTCAGGACAAATCTCTCTCACCTGCCAGTCCCACAGCCGTCAGACCCGACCAAGTAAACACAGAGACTTGTATTGGTTTCAAACTGTATGGCCATGGCAGGCTTCTTGCTAACTGTTCTTTCAGCTTAAATTAATCCATTTTTATAAATCTATACCTTGCCACATGGCTCGTGGATTACCGGCATCTTCACATGCTGTTTGTCATTGTGGTGGCTGGCAGTGTCTCTCTGACTCAGCCTTCCACTTCCCAGCTTTATTCTCCTCCTTGTCCCGCCTACACTTCCTGCCTAGCCAATGGCCAATCAGTGTTTTAATTATTGACTAATCAGCAACACATTTGACATACAGAACATCCCACAGCACTTCCCCCCTTTTTTTTTAAAAAAAAAAAGGAAGGTTTTAACCTTAACAAAGTAAAATTACATATAATTTGGGAATTTGGGCGTTGCTTCTCTTACTACTTCCGGCTGGAGGGGGGCGCTGTATCTTATGAGGAAACAAAGAAAATTTTAGGATTATGAAATAGTCCATGAGGGTGTATCGTCTGAGCCAGTTGCCTTCAAACCATTCTGGATGTTGGATCATCTGGGCCATGGTGTCATCGGAGACCTTTCAGGGGGTCTTGGCTGGTCAAACCTGATGTATCTTAATCTGGAACAAATCCATAGCCTTTGGCTTTCTGTGGGAACAAAAGCAGAGTCTCCTTTCCAAAGTAACATATCCTTATATCCAAATTTTGAAGTCAAGGTACCTTTAAAATATACATATTGGCATAACTCAACAGCTTTTACAATCAAATATTTTTCTGCAGTTAAAAGTCCCAAAGACAACACAATGCAGATTCTCTGTGTAATATCCATTTTTACGTGGCTTATTTTTTATACTACCTTTACTGTCTCTTTAAAGACTTTATTTTTTAAAACTATGTTTCTATAACTCTATATATCATCTTTTTTGTCTCTTTCAAGCCTACGTATCTTTTACACACATTGTAAACTATTACATCTGAATCTGTCTTATTGTGAATCTATTGCCTTAAACTGCAGCAGCTGTGGCTGCTGACTCCGCCCACCTCAGCTTCCCAACATGGCCATGGTTTACCGCCAGCTCTGGGAGCTATCGGGGGTCTATGCTTTTAGCCAAGCAGCGTGTAGCCCAGAAACCTCCCCTTTTGCTCTGCACCAGCAAAGGCTAAATCCACCATGCAGCTCAAAGTGCCACTTGCAAAGGCCTCATTCCCGCCATATGGCAGGTTGAGCTCGCATGCAAGGAACCCACCAATAGCTCAAACCAGCAGCTGCCGCTCATTTGAGAGAGACAATTAGGAACTGTTTTTAGCTCCGTTTTAGAATCTTTTCTCAGGTTTTTAGATGGAAACTCTTGCCACCACGTTGGACGCCATTTGTAGGTAGAGTTTTCCTGCCTGGCCCACAGTCAGGACAAATCTCTCTCACCTGCCAGTCCCACAGCCGTCAGACCCGACCAAGTAAACACAGAGACTTGTATTGGTTTCAAACTGTATGGCCATGGCAGGCTTCTTGCTAACTGTTCTTTCAGCTTAAATTAATCCATTTTTATAAATCTATACCTTGCCACATGGCTCGTGGATTACCGGCATCTTCACATGCTGTTTGTCATTGTGGTGGCTGGCAGTGTCTCTCTGACTCAGCCTTCCACTTCCCAGCTTTATTCTCCTCCTTGTCCCGCCTACACTTCCTGCCTAGCCAATGGCCAATCAGTGTTTTAATTATTGACTAATCAGCAACACATTTGACATACAGAACATCCCACAGCATATGTGTGTGTGTATGTTTGAGACAGAGAATCAGTCGATAGCCTTGGCTGGCCTGGAACTTGCTCTGTAGATCAGGCTGGCCTCGAGCTCATTGAGATCTGCCTGTCTCTGCCTACCCAGTGCAGAGACTAAAAGTGTATATCACCATGCCTGGCTCTGTGTGTGTGTGTGTGTGTGTGTGTGTGTGTGTGTGATTATATATGACTATATATATGACTGTATATTTGAACATTTTACTTATTTGTTTTTATAGATTTTGAATATATATTTGAACATTTTATGCTGGGATTGAAACTGGGTCCTTTGGAAGAGCAGCCAGGTGCTGTTAACCACTGAGTCATCTCTCCAGCCATTTGTTTGTTTGTTTGTTTTTTGAGTTATGTTTTACTATGTAGCCAGGCTGTCCTAGAATTTGCAGTGATCCTCTTGCCTCAACCTTCCCAAAGCTGGGATTGGGATTACAAGTTAAGCCCGCTTACCCTGCTTATATATGTTGGTTTGTTTGTTTTTGAGATGGATCTTTCTATGTAGCTCTAGCTGGTCCAAAACTTCCTATGTAGACCAGGCTGTCTTGTAGTACAGAGATCCACCTACTTACACATCTCCTGAATGGTGGAATTAAAGGAGTGCTCCACCACACCCGGCTTTGCTATGATTATTCTTGCCATTTGCTTCTATATGACCTGAGTTTCTTGTTTCTCTTCCTCTAACAACAGGATCGTGGGGTTGACAGCTCCATTTTTCAGAATCCTAAAAAGCTTCACCTGACTATTGGGATGTTGGTGCTTTTAAGCGAAGAAGAGATCCAGCAGACGTATGAGACCCTGCAGCGTTGTAAAGAGGAGTTCATTAAGTACGTAACAGGCAGCATGGGAGGGATGGCTGGGTTTTTAGTATCACAGGCTTGTTTGCAGATGAGGGAGCTGGATGACATGGGGATCAGCTCGTGATGGTCAACAGTGTGGTTTGTTGACTCACTCATGAATGCATATGTAAGATCTGTCTATTTTATGGGTATGAGTGTTTTGCTTACATGTGTGTATGTGTGCTTTGTATGTGCCTAGTGCCCACAGAGGTCAGAAGGTCTTAGAGCCCCTGGAACTGGAGTGACAGATAGTGGGGAGCCACTGTGTAGGTGCCGGGGAACGAAGCATGATCTTCTGCAAGAACAGGTGTTCCTGACTGCCGAGCCATCTCTCCAGCCCTGAATCATTCATTTGTAGTACCTGACATTGGACTATCAGCTGAAAGTTTGAAAATGGCCTTAAAGCATGCATTTACAGTTTAAATTGTACTAATTGAGAGGCAAATTTGGTTCTTAAGCAGAACACCTCATTGTTTGATCCAGAGTAGTATGTTACTACAACTTCAATGACTTAAAAAAACACACATTCACCATCTGGCTCACCATCTGTGGGTCAGGAAAGGCAGGGGAGGGCAGCCTAGGCTGGGATGAGAGAGCTGGAGGACCTGGGAGTTTTATCGTTTGTTTATTTTTCATTTGTGTGTTTATAAAGAAAACATATACACATGTCAAGACACACATGTGGGCGTCCGAGGACAGCCTGCAGGAGTCAGTTCTTCCCGCCCACCATGTGCTTTCAGGGATTGAGCTCAGGTTCAGACTTGGCTGCCAACACCTTGATCTGCTGAGCCATCTCTCTGGTCTGTATCAGGAGACCTCCATGGGTTTCATTGGGCTGAAATCAAAGTCCTGGCAGAGCTCTGATGCTTTTTAGTGTTTTAAGGAAAAATACCTGTTTTCTTGCCTGTAAAGTCCAGCTTTTAGAGGCTTCCCACATTATGGCTTCTTTTCCCACCTTTGCTTCTAATGTTGCAGTTCTCTGTCCCTTCACTTGTCACCTCTTGTCACCTTTCTGTGACTGCAGCAGGGACAAGCTGTTGGCTTTTCAGGACTCTGACTTGATTAAATCCAACTGTAGTCAAATTGATCCCTGTCTTCAAGTCCCTTAACCAAGATGTGAAAGAGAGTGGTTCTCTTGGAGGGCCTATCATAGTAGCTCAGACAGTACTCCAGCATTCCTTAGGAAGGAGGTAATGCTCCTCCTCCTGCCTTCTCTCCCCTTCCCCATCCTTCTCCCTCTCCGCCTCTTCCTCCATCTCTTCTTTTATTTATACAGAACATGGTCTTACTGTGTTGCCTCAGTCGCCTGCCTCAGCCTCTTGAGTAGTTGGGATTTCATGTTGCCTGAGCTAGTCTCAGATTCTGCGGCTCAAGCAGATCCTCCAGCCTTAGCTTCCTGAGAACTGGGATTCCAGGTTCTCCAGCACAGGACTGCACCTGGCTAAACTAAGAGGAGGAGGAGGAGGAGGAGGAGGAGGAGGAGGAGGAGGAGGAGGAAGGGGAAGGAGAGGAAGGCGGCTGTGATGATGTACATATGTAGTTCCAAAACGTCTTAAATTTGAGGCCCATCTGACTCACAAGACTCCACCTCAGCAATGTAAACATCAGTCTAATGTGGTATGGTGGCATTTGCCTGTGAGTCCAGGACTTGGGCATGGAGATGGGTATCAGGGGTTCAAGGTGATCCCTGACTACGTAAGCCAATTGAAAGGAAGTGTGGGCTTCATGAGACCTTGTCTTGAGCAATCAAACAATCTGCCCCCAAATAAAAAACAATAAAGGAGTAAATATAGATATTTTATTTTAGTCAGTAAGAATGTCATCCCAGCACTCAGGAGGCAAGGCTGTGGGTTTGAGACTAGCCTGGTTTATATAGCAAGTTACAGGGCAGCTGGGGTTACATAAGGAGACCCCGTCTCAAAAAGACAAGAAAAGAAAAAGGAAGTCAACTCAGGCGCTCTCTCGGGCCAGGATGACTTGTTACTTATTTTTTCAACTGTAAAAATTTAATTTACACATATATCTAGCATCGAAGTATCACTTCAGAGAGCTCCTTCTTCCTCTCTCCCTCTCTCTCTCTTTATAGTTTCCGCTATTTTTCTCCGATGGTTTTTCTTCTCTCCTGTGAAGCCAGCTCTTTGCCTGGGGTTTGTGGAGACGGATGGCGAGGCAGCACCAGCGGGTTTGAGTTGAGGTTGTGCCTTCTGTCCTTCCAGGCTTCATGAGATCAGTCCCTGACCACCTTGCTGTGACTAGCACAGCTCACGAAGTAGTACAACCTGACATAGAGAAAGAAGCACAGAAGCGTGGGAGACACTTGCTTTGGAAGTGTCCTGATGGCAGTGGCCTTGACAGTATTCTGAACAAGGACGTTCCTAGTGTCCCTGGGCGTGCATCGGGAGGAAGTGACTATGACATTTTTGGCACAGCCATTATTTCTTCTGTTATTGGTCATCTTGAGGTCAGGACCCAAAAGTACCCTTTCTCTCTTTTTACTTAAGACTGATGAAGAGAAATTTGGAAACTAACTCACTCACATAGATTTTAGAGAATTCTATTACTGGGCAGGGAGATAGGTTCCTGAGCCTTTGCACAGCTTGGGTCTGGGAACCCTGCCCAGGAGCGATGAGGAAATGAAGAAATGATAGGCAATAAGACAGACAGACATATAGAAAAGCTGGGATTGTGTGGGCTGGGCTCTCGGATGGAGAAGCCATGGTACCCAGCAGCTCAGCACATTCATTATATGTAGTTAAGTCGGGAGGTGCTGCATACAGCTGAAGAGCGGTTATTACATGCAGATAAACAAGAAGGCAGGGATATCATATACAGCTGCACAAGGAAGCAGGCTCAGCCTGTCTAGATAGCCTCAGTCTCTATAGGAAGCAGTCTTCAGCCATAAACATCTGGGAGGAGGGCTCCAGTAGACATTTCCACACACATTGTCAGCATTCAGACCAGAAGAAGGCTTAGCATTGTTCTCGGCCTCACCCAGGGAGGACTTTTTTCACCACCATGGGGCTGAAACACTGGGGTCCCTGACATGTCGATAGCACACATTCACTCAGGACTTCATTTACTCAGGGCTTCCTCTGCTTCCCACAGTGGCTCAGTGAATAAAGTGCTTTATGCACAAGCATAAGGACCTGAGTTTATATCCCTAGTACCCAAGTAAAGCCAGATGTGGTAGCACACATCTGCAGTCCCAGCACTCCTGTGTTGAGATGGGAAGCTGAGAGGAAAGTGCATGGACCAACTAGCTTAGAGTATGCAGCGATGAACAACAAGAGAGCCTGTCTCAAACAAGGTGGAAAGCAAGGACCAGTGCCTGAGTTTGTCCTTTTGTCTCCATACAAGCACCAATGGCATGTGTGTGTTCATGCCTGTATGAGTGCACGCGTGCGCGCACACACACACACACACACACACTCTTTATTTTAAAAATCCAGTTATTGTATACAGGTGCCATACTATTCTAACATGGCCCTGTAGAGAAATGGGTCACCTAAGCTGGCATGGTAGAGCACGCCTTTAATCCCAGCATTCTGGAGGCATAGACAGGCGGATCTCTGAATTTGAGGCCAGCCTGGTCTACAGAGTGAGTTCCAGGACAGCCAGAGCTACACAGAGAAAGAAATGGGTCACCTGGCTCAATGGGCAGAACAGGGTAGAAAGATCTGAAGTTTTCCTCTGTGTTGCATATCAGACTGTGTAGTACAGTGATTTGTTTGGGGGCCAGTTTCCTGTTGTTTCCTCTTCCTCCTCCTCCTCCTCCTCCTTCTCCTTCCTCCCTCCTCTTCCTTCTGTTCCTCCTCCTCCTTCTCCTTCCTCCCTCTTCCTTCTGTTCCTCCTCCTCCTCTTCTCTTCTTCTCCTCCTTCCTCTCCCTCCCTCCCTTCCTCCTTCCTTCCTTCTTCTCTTTCTTCTTTTTCTTTTTGTAACAGGGCCTCACTATGTAACCCTGGCTAACCTGGAATTCCCTATGTAGAGCAGGCTAACCTTGAACTCACAGACATCCACCTGCCTCTGCCTCCCCAGTGCTGGGGGATTAAAGGTGTGCACCACGACTCCCACTGTTTTATTTTTTAAATCTTACTTATAACTCAGAACCATTTGGTGTTCATCATTAGATAGTTACAGTTTTCTTTGTAAAATAAAAAAATATTTAAAGGTCTCATACTTCGTTATATTCTCAATTCTCTTTTTGCTAAACTAGACTGAAAGTAGCTACATTTTTCTAGCTGCCAGTGAGATAATCCTGCTAAGAGAAAAAAAATGTAGAGTTAGATAAAATATTATGTAGCAAAGTGTTTGTTCTTGCCTTAAGAAAACCAGGCCACAGGTTTTAACCACTGAGTTTTAATCCTAAGCTCTGGGCAGACCTAGCCGAGTATTTCCCTTTTGTGTATGTAGTGCCTTTTGTGACTCACTGCCAAATCGGAGCCTGGAAACATGTCCGAGTCAGTGTGCACTGGGAATAAAGAATAGTCCTAATAGTTCTAAAACTCTGACATGACAGGATGAAAGTGGTAATTGGAGTTTTTCAAATTCAGCACAGCTTTTGAAATAGGACAAAGTTGCCCTGCCAGAAATCTGCAGTGCATGCAGAAAGATGTTTGAAGATGCTTTTTTCAAAAAGCTGGGAAGATTGGAGACCAGCAAGTAAAATAAGACAAGCCCCCCACCCCCCCACCTCTGTGCCCCCAGCCCTCTTCTCCTGCCCCCCTGTGCTGTGCTCACTTGTTCAAAACATCTACAGTGCAAACACACTTCTGTGATGTTAGGTGAGGGCCAGGTGTTGGACTGCTCAGAGAAGACCACTTTCCCCAGATGGGTGAGATGCCGCTTTAAAAGATTGTATCAAACGCTGGCGAGTAGATTGTCTTTTGTTTTCCACTTAGGTTTGTCCTTTGCCCTCAGCCTTTGCAGTGGTACCTTGGGGAAGTATGCCAGTGTATAATGGCTGTAAAGATCCCAAAATAAAATGTGCAAAGGGAACCAGTGCAAGAGGGCCAGTGTAGACTGTCGTAGCTGAACGTGATGACATTTCAAGTTGGAATATTAAAACAAACATGGCTTATTTGGGATTTGATAAAAGCGTAATGCCATGTGGGTATTTGAAGGATCTGGGTTGTTGAAATCTGGAGGTAGTTGTTGAAACTAAAAGATGCTGCCTAACCAGAACCCAGATTTCTGTTGAAATTCTTAAGCTTAAGGCTCATGCAACTCAATAGATTTTGAATGAATTATTCAGTGTTGAGGAAACTCTGATGCTCAAATGTGTCCCCTGTGACTTTTCTCTGTGGGATATAGGACAGAAACAGGGCAGTGGCGCTAAGTATTTGCTTTGACAAATATGAGCCACGCCTCGTCACTCCAGCGTCTCTCTCCTGAAGCCTGAGAGTTCCTCACAGGCAGGGCTTCAACAAGTAAATCTAAGAGGAGCAGGACTGGGGAAGAGAAACCAGCTGTGGACAGAGGCTAATTTCTAATTGTTGTATTGGAGGTCACCTTTAAACCACCAGCCAAAGCACATTTATCAGGCAGACCACCAGATTTCTCTCCCCTGCTCTTTATTCTCTTTCCTGATAAATCTGTGCGTAGTTCACAGGTACTTCCATTTCTACTCATAAGTAAGCTTGGGAGCCTGTTGCATCGACCCAGCTTTTGTTCGTGGTACCCTATCTCACTCCAAGGATTTAAAGTCCTCAGCACCAAGGGAAAGGCAGTGAGGGAGAAATTCGACCTGCAGATCAAGGGGAAGAGTAATGGTGCTTAAGCATTAAAACTTGGTATGGTTTGATGACACCAATATACCCGAACAAATTCTAGAAAGATACCAACTTATGATAGTTATTATCTGATAAAAACCAGTAGGACAGTAGGACAGTCTGTATAGTGGCTCACACCTGTAACGTCAGTTCTTGGGAGACGTAAGTTTGCCTCAGGTTCAAGCCAGCCTGGGCTACACACTCCTAAGACAGCCTGGGCTACATACAGAACTATATACTCTTGTGACCCGTCTTACAAAACAACAAAACATAGCATGGTAGGTTTTTAGGAGAGAATGTGGGCTCTCAGTCCATGCAAGCTTAGTCATGTCAATCTTAGTATAATGGTAATGAGCAGCATATCCAACAAACTCTGCAGGCGGTAAAAAAGGCTCACATTGTTCTTACATGAGGCATTGAATACAACCTAGTGAAAACATGGTAGTGCTGATCTAACCCTGCAGGGTTAGTTTTTAAATTGTTTTCTAGTTTTTTTTAATTGTTTGTAACGTGTGTGTGTGTGTGTGTGTGTGTGTGTGTGTGTGTGTGAGAGAGAGAGAGAGAGAGAGAGAGAGAGAGAGAGAGACAGAGACAGAGACAGAGAGAGACAGAGACAGAGACAGACAGACAGACAGACACTATGGGGTTCATGTGCCATGCATGCTTGTGAAGGTCAGATGACAGCTTTCAGGGTTGCTCCCTCCTTCCACCTTACTGAGGTGGTTTCTGCCGTGCTGCTACTCCAGGCTACCTAGCCAGTTCGTGGAGCTTTGCAGCGATTCTCCTGTTTGCCTCTCCCATCTTGCCATTGGAATGCTGGGATTACAGATGTAGGCCAGTGCTTCTGGCTTTTTTACATGAGTTCCAGGGATCAAACTAAGGTCATTAGACTTGCCTTGCATGTACACCCGCTAGACCATCTCACCAGCTCCACCAGAGTTAATTTTAAAAGCATAAGGAAAGCTAGGAACAGCACATGCTTCTGGTTCCAGCTGGAAGACTACAGCACGAGGATTGTTTTAGTCCAGAGATTTGGACCAGCCTGGGCAACTTGATAAGACCTGTTCTCTCTCTCTCTCTCTCTCTCTCTCTCTCTCTCTCTCAGATATTTATTTATTTATTTATTTATTTATTTATTTATTTATTTATTTATTTATTTATTTATTTATTTATTTTATTTATTATATATACAGTAATCTGCCTGCATGTATGCCTGTACACCAGAAGAGGGCACCAGATCTCATTACAGATGGTTCTGAGCCACCATGTGGTTGCTGGGAATTGAACTCAGGACCTCTGGAAGAGCAGCCAGTGTTCTTAAACCTCTGAGCCATCTCTCCAGCCCAAGACCCTTTCTCTTTATGTTTTTATTTTGAGACAGGGTCTCATCATGTAACTCCGGCTGGCCTAGGACTTGCTATGTAGATCAGGCTAGCTTCTAGCTCAGAGAAATCTGCCTACCTTTGTCTCTTAAGTGCTTGCATTAAAGGTATGTGCATACTATGCCCATTAAAACCCTATCTCTTAAAAAATAAAGCAGTGTGTGTGGTGCAGTTAGTATAAAGTTGATTGTTAAAGCAAGTTTTTTTGCTTGTACTTGGTAGACTAGATGAGGTTTCAGGTCTCTGTGACCTGGAATGTTTAGAAATGTTCTTTATCTTAAGCACAGTCCTAGGGAGACTTCTGAGCAGGGCCATAAATGTTGGTTGGTTGGGTGCAGTCTTTTCTTGTGTGCTCAAGCTCCTTTCCTGCTCAGGATATTCTCATATGGTGCTCGGGCATGGCTACAAGCCCAGCTTGTCCACTGCCCTGCAGTTTGGCACATGGGTGAAGGTGGCACCTCAGCTGCACTCAGTGCTCCAAGCTTGTCTTGTTTCTTAGCCAGTACCAGCACCCTTGGTTGTCTGAGACATGCTGATTCAGAGTAGCCCATGCTGGCCTCCTCCAGCCACCCAGTCTCTGTAGAGACTGTACCACAACCACTAGTCTGCCTGTCTAGCAGGTGTAAGAGTACCCCAGTGGCTGCAGCTCCTCCTCACCTCCAACATCTCCCACTTGGAAGGTAATTCCACAGGAAATCCCCCACCCAATGACCTTGAGTGTTGAAGGCCTTGGTGGGGACATTGGATGAACTCCTAAAGGAGCGAGGTCTTCCCAGCTGAATCCAGTTTGATGATCACAACATACAGGGCTTGGAAGTAGCAAAAGGAGGAAGTTGTGAGGCACAATGACAGTCCAGTGGTTTCCCATGGGGAGTTAAGGTACAAGGCAGACCTAAGGAGCAGGTCTCAGGGTTTCCAGAGAGCCCAGAAAAGGCCATGAGATGGCAGGTGGTGACTGACTTCCTCTCAGCATTGTCCAGAGCACCTTTCCCCAGATGGTGGGCCACCCATTCGGTGTTGACTTGAGACCCCTTGAGCACCTGCTTTATTTAAGACATAGAGATATAAAAGAGGGTGATGGGGCCTAGCCATATGATGCCTAGGGAACACTATATAGTGGGTGGAGCTTTCCTGGCTTTTGATGGGCAGGAAACTCTTTCTGATGAAGTGTATGTCTGTTAGAGGCATCTGGGATGAAAACATGATAGTGGGAACATTCGGGACCAACGTTGGTTTCCATCACATGACAGTTTTTCAGTTTCCAAGGCTGGACCTTCTCGTGCATCCTTAGATCACACAGGTTGAGACTCTAGTCCCTGGAGAGGCAGGGTCTGCATCCTGGCTCAGCAGTTGAGAGTTGTGGAGAATGGATCTTTAGTCATCATCACCCTTAAGATTAAGGGATTGAAGTCTCAGAGGAGGAAACTGAGGCAAGGCAGAAAGAGAAAGCATTCAGAGGGTAGGGGGAGGAAAAGAAGCTCCTCACTCTAGAGTCTGGTTGGAATCTTGCTTGCCAAGAGTTAAGAATTTTGACACAATTAACAAGATTTGCTGTGAAGATTGCCTACAAAAAAACAATATTCTCTCTCTCTCTCTCTCTCTCTCTCTCTCTCTCTCTCTCACACACACACACACACACACACACACACACACACACACACACACACACACACAAGACAGGTGTCTTAGTTAGGGTTTCTGTTGCTGTGAAGAGACACCATGACCACGGCAACTCTTATCAAGGAAAAACAATTTAATTTGGGTGACTTACATTTTCAGAGGGTTAGTCCAATATCATCATGGTGCTACATGGTGTTGTGCAGGCAGATGTGGTGCTGGAGAAGGAGCCGAGCATCCTACATCTTGACTTGCAGGCAACAGAAAGTGGTCTGTCTCACTGGGTGTGGCTGGAGCATATATGAGGCCTCAGATTTAAATGTTTCCTTTTTTAAGTTGCCTTGGTCATCTGTTTTGTCTCAGCAGTAGAAAAGTAAGTAAGACACAGTGTATGTTCAAAAGTCAGCAACTTCAGACGTGGCTTTTGTCAGGACACTTAGGGGTGACATCTCTTGAGAAGCTTGTACCCATATGTAGTGTGTACTGTCATTTTCCTAGGCCTGCCTGCCCCCTCTTTCTTTTCTCTTTCTCCTCTTTAATGCCTCTGCTTAAATCCATATTAAAGCTCTTCCTTAATAAACTCAAACATTGCTTTAAACACACACACACACACACACACACACACACACACACACACACACACACACACTCTAAACTAACACCCCAAATAAACAAACAAAACTCCCAAACAACAACTTGGTTCAGCAGCTGTGGTTGCCCGTGCTGCCATTCCCTTGTGGCAGTTCCCTAGAAAGGGACTTGCTTGCACAGATGAGTCTAGGAGGCTTTTCACTAATGTGGACAGGTGGTCCTGAAGCTGTGTTATTGGTATGCACAACTAGTGAGTGACAGCCTCTTGTAACTTGTAGACATAATGAAGAGAGATGGGCTTTTGAGAGAAGGGCCAGCACGATAGAATGTCATTGCCAATCTCGTCATCCTTGGCTCTGTCTTAGAGCTCATCAGTGAGTATTGGCACCTGGTGTGGTGCTGAAAATACTCTCCTGTGTTTTGCAGTTGTGGGCATTGGACATTTAGTAACTTGAAATTAGAAGGACAGCTAGAACCCCACAGGTCTGTTCTTAACTACTTGACTATGCATACTAACCATCTTTCACAATACTGCAGCCTTCTTTGCTTACACAGCTGTACAAATCTGATGTTTTTCCTTTGGCAGTGACATCTCTGGAGGCAAACCCCTGGAAGCAGAGATGGCAGGGATCGAGTACATGAACGACGATCCTGGTATGGTGGATGTTCTTTATGCCAAAGTCCACATGAAAGATGGCTCCAACAAGTAGGTTTTTAATGTGTACATATTTGAATTAAAGGTTCCTAAAAGTCTGGGGCCCTTCTAGGCTTGCAGGGTGTCACCTCAAACTCCTCCTAACTTTTCTGTCTCAGCCTTTCAGTACTAGGATTCCATGTGTGCACCAACATGCCTGGCTCTTTGTTCACTAAAGCAAGTGTGCTAACACATTTAGGGAAGGATTGGTTGTGGGAAAAAGTGTCAGACCATTAGCCTGAAAGACTCTTTGAATAGTGGATGTTGATCATAACAGTCGAATTTTTGTGGAAATGGACTGGGTGTTTTTCAGCATAATAGGAGAGGCAGGCAGGAAGGTGTTGTAGGATGGGTTTCATGGATGATGTGATGGTAATTTGGTGAATACCAAGACAAAATGGTGATAAAATCTTACTGCCATGGAATTATTAAGATTAAGCTATATAGAATGTTAAGAACAAGACGGTCATGGTGGCATAGGCCTTTAATTCCAGCTCTTGGGAGGCAGAGGCAGGCAGATCTCTGAGTTTGAGGCCAGCCTGGTCTACAGAATGAGTTCCAGACAGCCTGGGATACATAGAAAAATCCTGTCTCAAAAAACAATCAAACAAGAACAGTATTTGGCATGTGTTAACATCATCCAAACATCAGAGAATGATTACTATTTTAATTTTTATGATAAACATAACTACATCCCTCTTAGAAATTCTCCACCTATAATAATTCGGGCTCTTTCTTTTATCTTTCTTTTTAAAAAGTTTTTGCTACATTTATTTATTATATGTGTATGTGTGGGCATGTGTGTGGAGGTCAGATAATGAATTTGCAGGAGTCAGTTCTCTCCGTCTACTATGTGGGTCCGTGAGATCAAACCCAGGGGTTCAGGTGTGGCAACAAGCTCTTCTACTCACTCAGTCATCTTTTTAATTTTTTTATTTTGTGAATTAGGTTAGCCTGAGCTACATGAGACCTTCTCTTAACATAACAAATAAAAATTCTTCCTCCTTTTGAGAAGTGGTTTGCTGAATTATAAAAGGCTTCTAAATGCTGTTACATTTTATTATGCTGCTGTTTTTGCTTATTATGCTGCTAATTTCACTACCAATGTTATCAAAATATTTAAACACTGTGAAGTTGTAAAGCCCCATGATGGCTGCTATACATTCTTAAGATTTCTAATTTTCATTTGAAAACTCAAGTTTTATTATTGGCAGAAACTGTTGACAAGTGTTTTCCTTCAAGTTCTTCTTAAAGACTCATACCTCCAAAGTCAGACAGGGTGGCACATGTCCTTAATCCCAGCAGTCAGGAGGCAGAAGCAGGTGCATCCCTGAGAGTTTGAGGCTAGCCTGGTCTACCTAGTGAGTTCCAGGACAGCCAAGCATACATAATGAAGTCCTGTCTCAGAAAACAAAACCAGTAGCAAAAAGGATAAAGAAAATATCTCCACATACCGAGCCTGGTCAGCCATAACTGCCTGTCAGTGTTCTTTCAAGTGTTCTCTCCAGTGGGCAGAAACTGGTTCAGTGCCCAGTTCTTCCCGACAGCTGTCTGCCTAGGTGTCCAGGCAAGTGCTTCTTACATAATGTCAGTTTCACCACAAGAATGCTAAAAGGCTGTGTGCTCAAGGAGCAAGATTCAATAAAGCTTTATTCTTTTCTGCTTTATCAAGGATGACTGAGGTTGAACTTCTTCAGATGTTAGTGAAGACCGTTACTGGTGAAGCACTCAGATGCCACCCCAGTTCCCCAGCTGGGGGACCGGCACTTCTCCCTGCCGATGCTGCATTCATTAGTTTGAGACAGTATTTCACTCCTTAGCCCAGGCTGGCCTGAAACATCAATTCAGTCCTCCTGCCTCAGCCTGCTAAGAGCTGGGATTTCCGGGTCATGTGACCATTCTGGGCTACACCACTGCTTTTGCACCATGATTATAAATGTCATCCAACAAAAACGGCAGAATATGTTGTACTCCATGGTCAGCATGTGCTCTGCCACTGAACCATGCTCCAGCTAGTATTTAAGGCTGGTCATGAGACCATCCCAGTGTTGAATGGGTCCAGGTGCTTGAAGTTCAAGCCTGGCAACCTGAATTCATGTAAGGGTGGAAGGAGGCTGGCGTCAGAGAGCTGTCATGTGATCTCCACATTGTGCCACACACAACTCCCCACACTGATGAAATTAAATTTAAAGGTAGTTTTGCCATCATAGCCCTTCCTGATGTTTCAGGACTCCATAGAATATACTGGGAGAACTCGTAGTCTAAGATTCTTATCACTTAAGACTGTGTCATTTCTGGGGAAAGTATAATTAAGTTTCGGTTAGCATTTAGTGTGCCTGGCCAGAGCAGAACCATGGTAGAGCTCCTGCGTACTGTGCTTGAGGCCTGGGTTTGGTCCCCAGCACTGCACACATACACTCATATTTTCTTCATGTGATCTTTGCAATATTTGTACCTAGGAGAGGCTAGTGTGCAGATGCACACTTCCAACTCACTGTTGTGAGACTAAAATCTATGCTGGCTTATAGGCACGCAGGTAACAGGGAGGCATATGGAAAATTACTTGGGATTATAATGTTTGATTCGACATAATAATAAAAATTTTCTCATCTGCACTTCAGCTCTGATTTAGGGCACACGTGGCAGAGACCAGACAGTTTAGTTTACTCTGTTCTTGGCTTCCAGAGGGGAACACAGCGAGCTAAAAAAGGCTGATGGAGTTACTGCTTTGAGTGTTTTCCCTCGTGTTCGCCCTTTGTTCTGCTGCTGAGACCCTGAGTTCTGGAGGTCTTCACATGCAGAGGAGAACAGGTTTGAGAATGAGAAAATGCAGACCCATAGAACTGAGTTTCTTTTGAAGACAGTTCTCACACTCCATCTGTCCCCTCCCTAATGGAGAGCTCAGGTCTCAGAGGCCAGTCCCTCCTAACTTTCCCCAAAAGCTGGCTCTTATACGTTTGGCCACTCTCTTTGTCAAAACTTTGTGAACTGAAAGGTGAACTGTCATTGAGTCTATAACATGATCAATCAAGAATGGTTTTGAGTCATTCACATTTTGTTTACTGCTCTACATTGACTTTTGTTCGTCTATTTCTCCTCATAGGCAGAGCCATGTGTGCTATTTCAGGATTTATAAATCCCCCCTTCCCTAATGTACACTTTTTTTTTTTAAAGATTTATTTATTTATTTATTATGTATACAGCATGTATGACTGCAGGTTAGAAGAGGGCACCAGATCTCATTACGGATGGTTGTGAGCCACCATGTGGTTACTGGGAATTGAACTCAGGACCTCTGGAAGAGCAGTCAGTGCTCTTAACCACTGAGCCATCTCTCCAGCCCTAATGTACACTTTTTAAGAGACATATGTATTCTAAAATGCTTGTTTAAGTCAACTTATAAACCTTCTGGAATGTCTCCTTTGTGCAGGGAGTTTGGCGGCCTATGCTAATTGATACAGGAATAAGACATGGCCCTTTTACAGTGGTGTACATGTACGCATGTGCACACAAACACACACAGAGGGTTCTTTCTCTATTGTCATCTACCTCATTAGTAACTAATTTATTTACTTTTGAGACACGGTCTCTCACTGAAACTTAAGCCTATAAGGAAGTTTCGGGCTAGTTAGGACTGCATAGTGAGACTTTTTTGTTTGTTGTTTTTGTTGAGTAAGGTTGTTTGTATAAAGTCAATATAATAATTACAGTTGTTAGCCAGCAGAAAAGATCATTTAAAAGTTAAAAACTATGTACTCATTATTCAACAAATTATAAGATAGTTAGGAATATATGACAAAACATGTACAAGAGCTTTTTGTAGGAAATCATAAACTATAAGAGATCTGTGTATTCAGTAATAGATGCCGTCTTAGTTCGTGGTCCATTGCTGTGAAGAGACACCACGACCACAGAAACTCTCATAAGGGAAAGGATTTAACTGGGCCTTGCTTAGAGTTTGAGAGGTTTAGTCCATTATTGTCATGGTGGGGAGCATGGCAGCTCACAGCAGACATGGTAGCTGAGAGTTCTACATCCAGATCTGCAGGCAGCTGGAAGAGACAGACACTGGGCCTGGCTTGGGCTTCTGAAACCTCAAAGCCCACCCCCAGTGACACACTTCCTCCATCCAGGCCACACCTCCTAATCCCTCTCAAGTAGAACCTCTCCCTGGTCCAAGCATTTGAGTCTGTAAGCCTGTGGGAGCCCTTCCTGTTCAATCACCACAGGCGGGTGCCATTTAAAATCATTTTCCTTAATTCTTGGAGAACTTTATACAACGTATTTTGATTATATCCATCCCCCATTCTCCCCCTTATTCCTTCCATAACTCCTCTCCCCTTACTTGATTTCCACTTTTAAAAAAATGGTTTAATTTTTTTAAAAAAAAATTACTTTATGTATGTGGGTGTTTTGCCTGCATGTATGTTTATGTACCACATGTGTGCCTGGTGTCCTCAGACACCAGAAGGAGTCAGATCTCATAGAACTGGAGTTAACAGATGGTTGTAAGCCTCTGTGTGGGAGCTGGGAATTGAACCTGGATCCTCTGAAAAAGCAGCAAGTGCTCTCCCTCTTCCTTTTTTGTTTTTGTTTTTCGAGACAGGGTTTCTCTGTGTAGCTTTGGAGTCTGTCCTGGATCTCACTTTGTAGACCAGGCTGGCCTTGAACTCACAGAGATCCACCTACTTCTGCCCCTTCTCCTCCCCACCCCCACCCCCAGTACTGGGATTAAAGGCATGCACCACCACTGCCTGGCTCACCACCCCCTTTCTTAAAAGTAACCCAGTAGTCCAGTTTATGCTGCTTATAGACTCCAGGGTGTGGGGCCATCCATGGGGTGTTGTCCACCTGTCATTAGCTACAGTACCCTTAAAGAACTCTGACTCTCCCTTCCCCGGTGGCCGTCAGCTGTCCAGGGCTCCTCAGTTAGGGCTGGGACTCCCGACCCCTTACCCCTTCATGCTAGAATGGGACTGACTGGTCTTATGTGGGTCTTGTACAGACAGTATTCTTTATAGATGCCACATTGCCCCACGTGACTCTTTATGAATTTAAAACAAGTCATTCGCTGTGCACAGAGCTGGAAGGGGGAGCCAGGGCAGGAGCCGTTACAGTAAGAATAGGAACAGGGTGTTTAGAAGCCATTAGGATAGTCTGGGAGAAGCACAGTGGCCCGAATTAGAGCAGTGCAGTGGGAATCAATAATTGGATGCAGAAAGCACAATCCGCTTGATTTGGCATTTTTCTTAAAGTGGAGGGTAGAGAGATGACTAAGCTAGTTTATATCAGAAATGCAAAGGTGAGTTCAGACTAGAAAATCTATAATATTCCTGTCAGATTTAAAAACAGTATCTAAATACATGCTTGAAAGGATTTTGCTGGCCATAGTGGTGCATTCCTGTAATACCAGCACTGAGGAGGGAGGCCAAGGTGGAGTTCAAGGTCATTGTTAGCTACACTGTGAGTTCAAGGTCAGTGGGTAAAGGCTCCTGCCACCAAGCCAAAGGACCCTAGGACCTACGAGGAGAAAGAAGAGAACCAACTTCTCAAGTTATTCTCTGAGCTCCACACCCGTGTCTGTTCATGCTCACAATTAAATAAATAAATGCAACTTAAAAATAAAAGCAAAACAAAAAAGAAGTGGATACAATCTGGTTGTTGAGAATTGGCAAATGGGAGAGTGGTCTTTATCTGTTGGGAGGTTGAATGTATAACTGCACATTTCAGTACCACTGTATATAATTGCTCTCTGTTTTCACAGTCAAGCTTTTTTTTTCTTTTTTAACAGATGAATTAAGTAAAAATTAACTTGCCAACCCTTGTTTCCCTGTTTTCCTTCCCAGAGTGAAAACTGCCAAGAGTTATTGTCTGTATGTATTATTTTAAACAAATAGAATTACATTACACTATACTGCAGTTCTTTTTCCAACAGGGTCTCATATAGCCCAAGCTGGCCTTGAACTTGCTATATAACCAAGAATGACCTTGAACTTCTGACCTCCTATCTCCACCTCCTGAGTGCTGAGAGTAAGGGCATATGCCACCATGTTTAGGGTTTGTGTGTGTCTGTGTGTGTGTGTGTGTGTGTGTGTGTGTGTGTGTGTGTGTGTGTATGTGTGTGTGTGTGTTGGCATTGAGCCCAGCACTCTACAAACTGAGTCTTTTCTGCAGTTCCTCTGAGTTGGCCCTGAGATGCTCACTGTCATGTCAGTGAGCCTAGATGCTCGGAAATACTGCATCAGTTTTTTGAAGCTGTACCTGTGTGCCATCGGACTTCTTTTCAGTAAAATCGCCCATCATCTCGAATCTTTGAATTAGTAACTTCCAGTCTGGTAGTCAGGTTCTTTCAGCCTGACACCAAGTTACCACTTCACCTTTGTCTCCTGCTGCCCTGTGGACCTCCCGTGGACATCAGCTTGAGACCTTGCCTATGTCCAGTGTCTGTCTTTCCTTCCTGGGGTCCATTCTTTTTCTCAAGGAGGTGGTCAGATTCTTGATGCTGGAGAACACGTGCCACTCAGTTTTCTAGATCTAGCATTTTTTGGATGATGCATGACTTACAGTAGATGTTCCCTAAACACTTGATACGTGCATAGGTCATTTATTCATTCAGCTGAAATCCAGATGCATTGAGTACCCTCAGCTTTTGTCCTCATCTCCTCCTTCAGTCCCAGCTCAACTCTAACCTCTTCTCCCCTTAAGTCACCCAAGGCACTCTGTGCTACTGCTGTTATCCCACCAGGTCTACTCTACAGCAGGGTGTCTGGCTTCTTTGTCTGGTGATGTCACCTCGCCATCCACAGATAAGCACCTAAGTGTCTGTGGGCTGTTTTCCTTCTTATGCTTTGTTGCCCTTTCCTAGTTTCTTGATGAGCATATTATTTCTGTAAACAGGAAACAGTTAAGAGAACAATTATGGAGGTACATCTTCCCCCACCCCACCTCTGTAGCAATAAATGAACCCCGAGACTGCACATTTATCTGTTTTGGGTGACATGCTTTTAGTTCCTCAGTTCCTGGCTTCTAAGAAGCCTGCACTGCTTCTTGTGGCCTGCTGAAGACTAACATTTCTGTTTTTCCTTCCTTTCCAGTGTCTTAAGAGCCTAGTGTGCCCTTGCTGCCTCCCTGTCTGGTTCCTCCTCTGTCCTTTGTTGTAAGACTTCTGTCTCTGGTGTACCAACGAAACTGCTGTGCTACAGGGTCCCCACCCCCGCTCCCCCAGTGGCTGCCTGAACTGGCTGTGCGTGTTGGCACTCCTTCCAGCCTCTCCAAGGTCCTTTTCCTCTTTTCTCATCCTTACCAGCTGTCTTCTGGTTCCTTCTCTGCCCTTCCATAGTTGAGCATCCCAGAAGGCTGTCCCTAGCTTTCACTTGGCTTGCCCTTAATTCTCCTTCCATGCTGCACCTGTACTAGGCTTTCACTGCCCTTCCTGGTTTATTGAGATGGCTGGTGTCTCAGATAGCCCAGAATGGCTAGTATACTGGCTACCTAGTGGATAGTAGCCCTGTATGACCTTGACCTCCTGCCTTTATCTTCCAAGTTCATGTGTCACCACATCTGGCTAAAGGATGCTGAGCTGACAGTCCCCAGACTCCTAGGTTGAACTTCAGACTTGTATCTCTGTCTGTTTTTGGATACATGTGCCTGGACTGTCCTTCAGACCTGATACCCTGTGCCGTACAAGTAGAGGGGCCCAATGTCAGCCCTGTCCCGTGATGACAGTGAGCAGATGAGTCCTCCTAGCTGCCTGTTGGGTTAGTGACCTGGCTGGCTGCCGTCTCCAAGCTGGGGAGCCGTGCTCACTGTCCTGTTCTCCTTACCTCTGCTGTGTGTGTCGGGATGGGCGCCGCGTCTCTCACTGAGCTCTCCAGACTTCCTGCTCGTTGCCCCCAGAGTGTAGGCCTTCAGCACTTCCTCATTCATAGTGGGGTCCTGAGGACTGTGGACTCGGAAGGCACACTGACCTGCTCTGATTTTTAAAAACTCATTTAGAAATTTTAATTAATTAAAATGGTTTTGGGGGAGAGGGATAAGGGAAGGCAGCAGGAGGATGACTATAATAAAGATAAGGATATGGACAGATGGAAATGTCATAAACCCATTATTCTGTAAACTAACTAAAAAATTATGAAAAGGGGCTTGTGAGATGGCTCAGTGGGTAAAGGTGCTTGCAGCCAAGCCTGACGACCTGAGTTCAACCCCCAGAACCAGCACGGTGGAAGGAGAGAACCGACCCCACAAGTTGTCACACATGTGGGTGCACTTGGCTTGTTTGCTCGGGTGCCCCCACCACGAAGATAAGAAAAAGAAAGAAAGACATTTTTAAATTAATAGAAAAATTGTTATAAAGTCTAGGGCCTAGTACATACTAAGCACACCATTCTACCACTGAGCAACATCCCAGCCTCTAAAGTGTGTGTGTGTGGGGGAGAGAATTTAGATTTGCCACTTAGCTGCTTAGTAGTTCCATGACCTTGCCCAGGTTCCATACCTTCCCTTCCCTTAACCTCCTCAGGGGTAAGTTAGGGGTACTGATGTGTTGTGAGCAGATACCGAGTGCGCAGTGTGGTGGTGGCCAGGGCATTGTCTGTTCTTTCTCCAGTGAAGAAGCTACCTAGCTGTCCTGGGCCACTGCCCGTCTCCCTACTTCATATCCAGCCCTCCTTACTCTGTCCCAGGCATCTCCGGTAACCAACAGGCTGCCGTCTGTTATGACCACGCATCGTTGGGGTCTCACATGTTCTGCTTTTTCTTTGCTTGGAGTGCCCTTCTTTTTCTGGTTCTGTCTGTGGCTCTTTATTAATCCTTCAAGAACATGCTGCTGCAATCTGTCTCCATGCAGCGTCAATCACTCTCATGAAACTGTATTGCACTGCCGTGATCTCCCTTCCCCTCTCCTTACAGCCCTCCCCAGGGGCTTGTTTTGTGACCTGGGCTGCCTTGGAGCTCGAGTGTATCTCATGCTTGCCTCAAACTCAGAGTCCTGCCCGCTGTGCTAGTGCACATACTTAAATCCCAGCAAAGGCGGCCTGATGGCTGTGAGTCTGAGGCCAGTCTGCTCCACATACTGAGTTCTAGGCTAACCAGTGCTGCATAGTTGAGGCCTGACTCACAAACAAACAGAAAACAACAACAAACAAAGTTATAACTCCTCTACCTCAGCCTCCTGGATGCCGGGATCACAGGCTTGTGCCACCATAACTGCAGTGACTTGTTCCCAAGGCTGCCTTCTTGATCAGACAGTAAGCTTGGTGGGGACTGCAGTCTCTTCTCATGACTGCCACAGAGCACACACAGCATGCATGTTCAATTGGTCCGGTTGAGTTCACTAAGATTTGTGGTGCTCCCACCTGTCCAGGCTGCAAGAACTAGCTGACCGAGTGCTGGAGCGCTTCCAGGAGCTGGGACTAACAGTCAAAGAGTGGAACAGTGTGAAACTGCACGCCACAGTCATGAACACGCTCTTCAGGAAAGACCCCAATGGTGAGTCCCCCCAGAGCTGCAGCGGGCTGGGATCCTCAGGGCCTCTGGGCTTAGCTGAGCTTTAAATGAGGGGCCGTCGTGAATCTCTATACTCCTTGGCTGTGATGAACCCAGTGGAAGCGGCAGGGGCATACCTAGCGTGACACTTAGCTTTGTCACACATGGGGTTGTCAGATTTTGCAAACAAAAATATGAGATGAGGGTTGGGGTGTAGTTTAGGGTAAAGTACTTGCCTTGTATGCATGAGGTCCTTCTTCCAATCCTTAGCATGCCTCGTCCAAGAAGGATTTAAGATGCCCAGGCAAATAACCTAAACAGTGAAGAATCTCAGTCTCCCCCGGCACCATCCACCATGTTTTTTGAGACAGGGTCTCCCACTTGCCTGAAATTCACTAAGTAGGGTGGTCTGGATGTCCAAAGAGCCCGAGATGTTCCTATCTCTGCCTCCCTCTGGCTGAGATTATAATAAGTGTGCCTCTGTGCCAGGTGTTTTTGTTTTGGGTGTTTTGTTTTTTGACATGGGTTCTGGGGATTGGGCTCAGGTGCAAAGCAAGCACTATACTGATTGAGCTGTCTCCCTACCCACAATTTCTCCTTTTTAATAGTTTTTTTTTCTGGTATTGATTTACTTCTTTCCAAACTGCTCATGTTCTTTTTTCTTAGCAGGGAAGCTGTTTATGTTTGCTTTGCTTGTGTTTTTGAGATAGGATGTCATGTAACCTAGGCTGGCCTTAAATTTGCTATTCAGAGGGGGTGGCCTTGAACTCTTCATCTCCTGCTTCCACATCCCAAGTGCCGGCTTTGTAAGTGTGAGCCACCATGTCTGGCTTTCAGAACTCCTTTTTTAACTGTGGAGTATGCTCGAGGCTGGAGTCTTGTTTAGAACACTTTTCATTCGAGCCAGGTCCAGAGTCCCCACACACGTAGCTAAAATGTGTTATGTTCATGGAGTTGTTAGAACTCTGACCTGGGACTCTGCAGACCTGGACAGTGAAAGAGCATACTGCAAAGTAGAAATATGAGTGCTTGTAAAAGGTCTGTCAGTAGGCAGGAAAGAGTTACCAGTCAAAAAACACTCTGGAAGTTAAATAATTCTTAAGGGTCCTTTGAATTTTCTCTTTCCTGTGCTCTTCTCTGTATTGAATTTTTTACTTGAAAAGGACATGAAAAGATATGTTACTTTTTCTTTTCCTGTCTCCGTTCTCTTTGATATTCTTCCGACTGTCCTTTAAGGACATCTTTTGGGACATGCAACCTAAATTAACTTAGTCAACTAGAGTACAGTTTTGTTTAGGCCAAGGTCATGGACTTGCTGCCTTCCCGTGTAGAATGTAAGGATATCTTTAATGGTAGTAAAGCCCCCCCACATTAGAGGTAGTCCTTAAGTCTACCCAAATCCTGGACACCAGCAATTTTGAATAGTTTATGTGTGAGCTTTTGTGTATTTTAGCATAATAAAAATCCCATGCCCTTTATTTGGGGTTGTAGAAACCTGGAGGTGACTTAGTGGAGAGCTGAGATCCGTGGAGGAGCGCCTTAGTTACCTGTGCATACAGTTGGGGCTGGGCGAATGCTGAATGAATGAACTACAGGAAGCGGTGGTGACAGCCGCAGGAGAAGCCTCAACTCTTGACTGTTAGCTGCTTCTCCTCCCACCGAGCGCTGCTTTCTAGCAGGAGGTGGAAGTCTGCTAGACGGCCCGTGGCCCTATAGCTACTCAAGAGGTGGGCACAAGCACACTTCTCATGCTCCTCTCCCGTTGTCTTTGGATTATTTACAGCTGAAGGCAGGTACAATCTCTATACAGCAGATGGCAAATATATCTTCAAGGAAAGAGAATCGTTTGATGGCCGAAACATTTTAAAGGTCAGTATGATGCAGAGTGACATGGAAGTCTTTGGGTGCATGCCCTGAGTGAGGGAGGAAGCAAGTTGTCACCTTACTACTGGACTGTGTTTTCTCCTGCTTTTCATGAAAGGATGGCTAAATGTTTTAATGTCGGGGGGCGGGGGTAGAGGGGAAGATCCATAGACCATCCATCTGTCTGTCCGTCCGTCCATCTATCTGTCCATCCATCTACCCTCCCTCTAGAGTACTTGAAATTCTTGATTTAAGAAAGAGTAACATTTCCCAGCTACTTTGATACTGCTTTTGAACCCAGTGAGTTTTACTTTATACTCTAGAGGTTGAGTTTCCATTTTTTAAGAGAAAAAAGTTGTTTTGATCTAGTACGTTTTCTCTTCATCCACAGAGTTGCTCTCCAAGGTTACTTTCTGTCTATTTTTACTCAGGAGCAGTCTGTGTCCTAAAAGTAGGTAGTCAGTGTCTGCCTGCTAAGACCTTGCCGTTCTGAATCCCATTAATCTAGGCAATGGAAATGCAAGGACTTCTGTCTTGCGTTTCGGTGTCCTGCACCAGCTCTGCTATAGCTGCTCTGTCAGGCTAGCATGCCATTGTTCCTCTGGGCAAGGAGACCAGGCTTGTTTTTGGATGGGTTAGGTCACACAATTTCAAGGCCAACAATGTTTCCCAGAGGTAAAGAGTGTGTGCATTCGTATTAGTCAGGGTTCTCTAGAGGAAAAGAGTTGACAGAATGAATGTATATGTATTAAAAGGGGTATTTATTAGAATCGCTTACAGGCTGTGGACCAGCTAGTTCAACTGGCTGACTTTTGATGGAAAGTCCGAGATAGCCATTTGGTCTATAAAGCTGGATGTCTCAGCTGGTCTTCAGTATAGGCTGGAATCCCAGTCAAGTAGGTTCTGATACTAGCGAAGGAATGAACTGCCTGCCAGCAAGAGTGAGGATAAGCAGACAAACACTTCCTTCTCCATTCCTTTGTCTAGCCTGACTCAGGAAGGTGTGGCCCACATTTAGGGTGGGTCTTATCACATTAAATGGTCTTCCCACTTCAGACAGTCAAGAAAAATCTCTCACCTGTGTGCCCAGTTGCTTTGGTTTTCGTTGATTCCAGATATAGTCAAGATTAGCCATCACAGTGTGTAACAGTGGTCCGAGTCACTTCATCTTCAGTGGGCCTGTTCCTCCCCTCCCTTCCCTGATTCCTTTACCTCATCCTTTGACAGACTGAGTAGCCCAAAGGTTCTTCCCAAAAAGCTCCTCTCACTGGCTTGTATCACAGGCTGTTTGGGCTTCAGTGAGTGGTGGTGGCATGTGCCTTTAATCCCTGCACTTAGGAGGCAGAGGCAGGTGGATCTCTGTGAGTGCAAGGCCAGCCTGGTCTACAGAGTGAGTTCCAGGACAACCAAGGCTACCTGTCTTGAAAAACAAAAACAACAATAAAAAAAATCAAGCTAACAACAACAAAAAGCAAAGTAAGTCCCACGACGTGGGTTAAGCCTGTAATCCCCCCATTTAGGAGATGGAGGGGGAGGCATTAGGACCTCAGAGATGTTCACATGCATATATATGAGTCTGAGAGGTCTGCCTGAGCTACATAAGATCCTGTCTCAAAAACCAAAGAAGCAAATAAGAGCAAGGAATGGAAAATTCCCAAACCAAGGAGAGAGAGGAACATTTGAGTCCTATAGAAGAGTGGTGATACTAATTATAGCTGAGTTCATCAACCTGCCGCTCGCCTGCAAAGCTGTGTCATGAAGGAGAGGCTCCCAGTCAGGGGTGGTGGTGCACACCTGTGGTAGAATACTTGCCTAGCACATTCATGGCCCTAGGTTTTGTCTCCAGGACTGTAAATCTGGAGAGAGAGAAAGATCTTTTTTTTTTTTTTTTTAAAGATTTATTTATTAATTATGTATACAGTGCTCTGTCTGCGTGTATCCCTGCAGGCCAGAAGGGGGCACCAGATCTCATGATAGATGGTTGTGAGCCACCATGTGGTTGCTGGGAATTGAACTCAGGACCTTTGGAAGAGCAGTCAGTGTTCTTAACCTCTGAGCCATCTCCCCAGCCCGAGAAAGATCTTTTTATTGAAATTTCCTGACCTGGATCCCCTGTGATGACACGTGTGTAGCGCTCTCTAGTGTTGATGCTCCCCACTAGTGCCTCATCAGTTTTAGAGCTGGGCCCAGTGAGTGATTGGAGATTATTTAGTGTCATTTCTCATTTGAATCTCTAACAGAGAGAGGATCCAGTGTGGTTAGACTCACCAAGAGGAATTTTAGTTAGTGGCATAGACTGGAATCCATTTTCCTGCTCTTTTGTGCAAGGGTAATCTGTATTTAGGTGGGATTCATGCGATGATTGAGGTCATGTCTGTCAGAACCAGAGTAATGCCTGATTAAACTCAAAATGGCAGGACAGCAGGTTCACCAGCTGATCTAAAACTGTAACTAATGAAAAACCAGACTTTCGGGGCTGAGGGTGTAGCTCAGTGGTGGAATACATGCTTGGTAAGCCAGATTCTGGGTTCAAGCGCCAGCACCAGAGTAATGATGATCAGACTTCCATGCCGAGTATACCAGCATTAAAAGAAGCACTTCTTGACTGGGAAGGGGAGACAGTCCCTGCTTTTCAGGAGCTCCTGCCTCTGAGGGGCACAGTAGACAGTTCTAGCATAAAATTGTGGGCAGATGTGCAGAAGAAAAGTAAGTGCCTTTGAACAGAGGACAGAGTAAACTGATATCTGTCGTTTCTCTTATTTTATTTCTTAATCATTAGTTCCAGAAAATGGAATCTTTCACCTGTGTTTCAACCAAGGGAATTAATCTCTTTAAAGACCAGGGCAACTGTGGGTATAATTGTCACAACCCCTACGTAACTGTGGTAGGCCACCTTTTGGAGTTGCTGTGCCAACTAGAATATGAGAACCAATGTCCCCAGGAACCCTTGAAATGAAAGAAAATATTTAGAAAACCAGTTGATTATTTTTAAATTTTAAGGATGAAGTTATTCTTATTTTAATTTTTTTTTTTTTTTTTGAGATGAGGTTTCATTATGCAGCTTTGACTGGCCTGGAACTCAATATGTAGTCCAGGCTGGACTTGAACTCATGGAAATCAGGCTGCCTCTGCCTCCCAAGTACTGGATTAAAGGCATGGGCTTGTTGTGGATTTTAGATGACATGCACACAAGCATGTGGAGGCCAGAGGACGTCTCGTGTGAGTCGGCTCCTTCCTTCCACCATGTAGGTCCCAGGGAGCAAACTCCGGTAGTCAGACTTGGGGGCAGGTGCTTTTGTGGAATGAGCTATCTCGCGGACCTCAGAATTATTATTCTAGGAAAAAAATGTATTAACAGGATGGGAACTGACGGAAGCACACAGAAGGTTAGCCATGTTGGGTACTGAGGAGCCCGGTTGCCTGTGCAGCATACTAAGAGCTACACAGGCCGGGATCCGGAGTGTCTGCGGGAGGCAGCCTTGGAGAAAGCCAAGCTCCTCAGCCACGCATCGAGAAACCAATGCCCATTGCTGTAACTTAATGAGTGCCTGACGACTGCTGCTCTGGTCCAGGAGGAAAATCGGTCCTTCTGGTTCCGTGGAATAGTGTGTGTTCTGGGTGCCTTATTAATAAGAAAGTCTCTAGTGGCTTTTGGAGGGGGAAGGCGCTTTTTTCTTTTGTACAGCTCTGTGAGAGTCAAAGCAGCTGTGACATACTAGTGTCTGGTTATTCCTGGTTAAAATAAGCTTTCCCCAAGAAAGACTTGGAAGGAGGAATTGACAAAGGATTATTCTGCTGTGTTATTCAGAGCAGAAAAGGAGCAAACACAGTCGATGATGGTGTTTTTATGGCAGGCTCACAGCTGCAAAAGCAGATGCATTAGTGAAGAGGGCCCAGGCCAAATTAGGAGGCCGATGCTCCCTGAGAGTTTCCAGTTCTAAGAGGTGGCAGGAAGGATGCTGTTTGTGTGACCATTGACTGTGAGCACCATGTAACCGGAGAAACAAGGCTGACCTAAAGTCAGAGTAGGAGCTAAGGGAAGAAGCTGCTCCCTCACTGTCGGGAAGTGATTGCTCATCAGCTGCCAGCCCCTGACAGGGAGCTAAGTGGCCTTCTGCTGGGGGACTTTGGAAGGATCCTGAAACAGTAGACTCGGTCTCTAAGACCCTCCCCTCAAAGACCGACTGCTCACAGTGTGTGCAGACGACAGACTGAGGAAGAAGCCCTCGGTGGCGAAGACAGACATGGGAAGCACTGAGGTCCCAGGCTGGAGGTGTACCATTTCCCTAGAGGCTTCAGTGACGCAGGCCTGTAATCTCAGCTATTCAAGAGGCTAAGGCAGGCAGAGGCAGGCGGATCTCTGTGAGTTCGAGGCCAGCCTGGTCTACAAAGCGAGTTCCAGGAAAGGTGCAAAGCTACACAGAGAAACCCTGTCTCAGAAAAAACCAAAAAAAAAAAAAAAAAAAAAAAAAAAGAGGCTAAGGCAGGAGGATGGCAAGCCCAAGGCCTGCCTTGGCAGCTTACTGAGACCAGGTCTCAGAAATAGGGCTGGAGATGTAGCTTGATGGTGGGCTGCTTGCCTAGCATGTACGAGGCCCTGGGCTCCGTCCTTAGAACTGGAGGGGGGAAGTTATATTAATCCTGATGTGGGAACTCGTGTGTGACCCCAGCATTTGGAAGTGGGGGCTGAGGCAGAAGGATTGCCGTATGTTTAAGGCCATTCTGAGCTACATAATGGTTCCAGGCCATTCCAAGCAACAGAATGTGACTCTCAAAAACAAAAACATAAAAAATATGAAAAATGTATGCCAAGTCTGAGAAAGATTAATTTATTTTGAGAAAGCTTAAACTAGGGAGACTGGCAGCATTAAGCTGGGTGTATTAATTTTTAATAGTTTCCTCTAAAATCCGGTTTCAGTCGCCCCTGGCTCACGGAGACTAGAGTTAGATGTGAACTAGAGTTATCCCAGCGTTCTACTCATTTTCATTTGAGCCCATTTTCATTC